TTTTACTCAGGGTAGGTTTTCTGTGCTGCATCATCAGTCCTGGAGAACCTTCCACTTGGTGATCTCCCCGGTGCAGCCTGAAGACAGTGCCTCTTACTACTGTTCCATGGACCCCCACAGTGAGGCAGATGCTCAGGAAATCTGAACATAAACCCCGGGCACAGCCTCCTCTAACTACCTCTTGGGGCAGCTCACGTCCTCAGACATGGGATCCTTCTTCCCAGTTGTTCTGTGTTCCGGCCTGGCCTTCAGAGGTGCCCTAAGGAGTCTGCTGATTAATAAAAAGCCAGCTCCCCCTGGCTTCAGATGGAGCAGAGCAGCTCCCCCCTTCTGACTCAGTGGGCCCTGGTGGTGGCAGAGGGGGAGAGGGATGTCTGAAGAATTCTCATCTTTGTGTCCCCAGTGCCCAGCTCACTCACGCCTGACAGAGCCGGGTTGACAAGTATGTGCTGTGAGTCCTGTGAGGGTATCAGAATGGGGCAGGTGAAGGGCCAGGCTAGGGAGAGCTCATCAGGAGGGTCTTTATTTTAGTCTCCATCATTTATCCCTTATTGTGAATTGGTCTGTTTTCTTTTTAAGACTCAAAATTAGACACAGAGTTACTTCAAACATTTTTCACCGATTCACCTTTTTTCCTGCATCTTCTTGTACAGCCACCTTATTTTTCCTGAATGCTCTTTGACACCACCATTTTACTTACTCTATTTGGAGAACATTTTTCTTTCACTGGAGAGCATTGAGATGCTCCCAGAAAGTTGTCTGTGATTCCCAGAACCTCAGCTTCAAAGTCCCTGAGTCTGGAGCTCAAGGTTATCTCCAAGGAAGATAATTATCTCCAGGGGAAGCCACTTATGTGATGTCAAAACAGATACACCCTAAGCCCTGGGAACGGGTCCCTCTTTCCTTCATTTCCATTGAACTCTCTGCTTTAAAACAATGATTAGAGTTGTGAGTGGTAACCCGGGAGAGGGTAGAAGCCTTAGCACTAGAGCCCAGAGATGTGAGGGCTTTCATTCCCAAGGTCAGAGAGCTGGTTAATGACCGAGCCAAGGGGGGGTGCCGCACTTTTAGGGCTCTCCCTGGCAGCGGCGCCCTAGTAGGCTTTATCAGTAGGTGTTCTGGCAGGAGTTTACCTAGGCTTCAAAACAGGGGGGCAAAGAGCAGTCACTATAGAGAGGAATGGAGAGGACACGAGTGAGGGAGCCAAAGGCTGTGGGCAACTGACTCAGCCTTCGGGCGTCTCTGTTCTGCCCACGACTGAGTGTGTGCAGCAATCTTCTCAGGGTTGTTGTAGGGCTTAAGTGAGGTGCTGTATGTGAAAGCTCCGGAAAACTAGAATCCACAAGATGATGCCCCCCCAGACCTGAAGACAGCCATAATCCACCCCCAATCTCTGGCACCTGCCGTTAATCATTTCTGGAGACTCCTTTTGGCGGAGGAAATTCGAGATCCTGTGATAAGCTAGGATTTTTTTTTTTTTTTTTTTTTTTTGCCACCAAAGTGGACCAGAGAGGGTGGCTCATTTATATGCTAAATACAGGACAATCCTAAAGTCCAGTCCAGCTGAAATCAAATCAACACCTTGTCCTTGTCTTGGGGGCACAGTATGCTTTTGGAGAAGCAACTTTGGGCTGCCACCCTTGATAATGTGGTTCTGCTCACAGTCCTGCCCTTGTCTCACTGAATGACTTTGGACAAGATATATTACCTTTTCCGGGGGGCCTATTTTTTCCATCTGAAAAATCAGGATGTGATCTTTTTGTTCTTAGCCACTCACAGAAACATGCTGATGTTGCCCAAGGTAACAGATGGGAATGTTTTGGAAAGAGGTGTTCTTTACACATACGAGGTGCAGTTGTGTGGAGTCTTTTTAATGGTTTTTCCCTGGCTGGACCTGCTTATCCACCTCGATGGTCCTAAACCCACTGACTCAGAGTGCTGCTGAGTCTTTGCTTTGGGCTGTGAAGACATAATGTGGGAGTCTGCAGATGGCTATGGCAGGGGGAGTTAGTGAGGGTTGCTCTTTCCCTTGTGGCCTCATAAAACCCCACTTGACACCCTACGTAGTGTCCTGGGTGCCGAGGAAACCACACTACTAGGGTGCAGGGGCTCTGCTACCTGAGAGGGTGCACTTGGAAGAAGCTATAGCCTTGCTGAGATGGGAGTAGCAGAGCTCATCAGCCACAGAGGGGTCATTGCTGTGAAATAGCAGCCACAGCAGGAAACCCAGGTTAGGATCCCCAAAGCGGGACCCTGCTGGCTTGGGGCTCAGGAAGCCGCAGCGTGACCTGCAGGCTCAGTTTGGCTTCTGTCTGCCTAACAGAGAGTTCACAGCACCCACTTTGCCCCTGTGGTGATGTGTTATGAGTAAAGCTAGAGGCAAGGAACACTCAATGCACTTTAATAAATGCAACAGAGAACAGCACTGGGAAGGGCAGAAAACCATCAACAACACGGGGCAGGCAAGAATCATCGTTCCCTGACCTCAAATTCCTTGTGCCCAGATTGGCAGGCAAAAAAATAATCTTTTTACAGCCAAAATCCGAGGGGTCCTGTTCCTCTTCCCTCCCTCCAGAAACATTTGCACAGTTCGTTGCTTGAGAGCAGGCCCACGTCTTACTCATCTTTGCACCCCCCGCACAGTACCTGGAACTTAGAGGGGGTCGATTCATGTTTGTTAAATTCACTAATAGAAAGAAGTGTATTTTCTCTGTATTTTACTCTGATCCTTGTTGATAGTTTGGAGAATATCTGGATGAGGTTTTAGAAACCCCACTGGCTGCATGAGGAGTCAAATGTAATTTTGTTTGTAAAGTACTAGGAAAAGCAGAAAGTGCTTTTGTGGCCGAGAATATGCCAGCTCAAGGCAAACCTAGGGCTGGGCTGAGCAGAGCCATTCATGTTAGGTAAGGCCCTCTGCTCTCTGTCCCCCAGGGTCTATTTTCCTAGGGGACCATGGAGCTGGGAATCTTTTGGCTCCCACTTTCTACTTCTGAAGGCAAAGAAAGTCAAAGGAACAAAACACCTTTTTCAAAGTGTATCAGTTGTAGAAATGAAAAAGAAAATGAGTCCTATATCTCTTTATAAAGCAGCAAAAAGAGCAGTTAGGACCATAATAGTGGTCAAAAAGTCCCCAGGACTTTTGTCTTTCCACCAGGCTGGAAAAGGAGCTGGGTTTGTTGCCTTTGAAGGAAAACTGGTTTGGGTAGCAGCCGTTTAAGCAAGGCTGGGATAGGTCAGCTTGAATCACCGAGTAGGCAGAAGCCTAGGAGACAGCTCCTCTGTAGGCTTTTGTGAAGACATAATGTGAGAGTCTCATAATGGAGCCTTCTCATGCCGGTCACCCTGCAAGTGAAGGACAGTTGTCAGAGCGTCATAGATCACAGACCATCAGTGCTGGGAGGAATCATGGTCCTCGTGTCATCTGGGGCTGGCCAGCACTTGCCATGCTGTTATCATTGCAGATGTCACTTATCTATTGTGGCCTGTGTCCCTTCTGCACATGGCCATATTCAGCTAGTCAGTATTAGCTTATCAATGTTGGGATAAGCCATGCAACCCATTTGCTGTCCTTAGTCATAGCTCCTTTGTTTTATGGATGCAAAAACTCAGGCCCAAAGAGGTAGAGCAACCAGGCTAGGGTAGCATAGTGTTAATTACAAAGTCAGGGTGAAAACCCACATCTTTTGACTCCTAGTGTAGGGCTCTTTTTAGATACCACACTGCCTGTGTCCTTGGGACTCCTGGAAACCAGTCACCCATTTGGAAGTGACTGGACATGTTTTCAGGCTAGGCTGGATCAGTCCCACACTCGAAATCCAGAGTTGTCCCCAGATTAGCAGTGGGACTGATGAGTCGTACTGGAGAAGGGGCTTTGTAGGCAAACCTAGGTCCCAGTTTGAACTTTGTGTCTGAGATTACCTGAAGAGGGAATGCAAGTAGCAGGCCAATAATGTCTCAGCTGCAACTTTGTATGCATCTTGAGGAGCTAGCAGTGGGTAGGTCACTGCAAATGGGGGTGTAGCTTCATCCCAAAGTTGGGCTGGTCTACACGTTGGAGTCCTGTGATAAAGGAATGGGAGCTGGCATCCCTTTTGTCTAGGCCAAGGCAGGTTCTGGAAATTCTTTGGGTAAAGCTTTACTGATGGCCTTGCAAATAACCCATGGCCCCTTGGCCAGATAAACAAAATAGTAAATAAAGAAAACTATTTCTCCTTACTTAGCTCCACATTTTTTTTTAGCTCCTGGGTTGGAGATGGGGATTATTGGCTGGTATTACATTACACTACATAATGCATTTTGAGTCTGGCTTGAAGTAAGAGGATAACAGGAGATGGGGCGTTATGCAGAGTATCTGAAGTGGCCCACCTTATTAAATCATAATATGTCTCTATGTGTTTTTCCCTTCCCAAGCCTTCTTGGCCTCTTATATTCCTAAACTCCCTTTCTCCCTGTGTAGCATAGTTTGCATGGGGGGTAGGAATAAGAAGCAGCTAATTCTTACCTTAAAAGAAAAATAACTTGGCAGTCAAGAGACAGTTGATGGCCAGACTCTTGGCAAACACCATTCGGAGCCCCAGCACTGTGAGGGACAGCATGTTCACCTTCCGCGCTGTGAACTGTGAGCTGTGATGAACTGTGGTCGAACAAGAGTAAAGATGGTGGCTTTAGCAAGGGACTAAGTTTCCTTCCAGAAACTGGGCCCACAACACTGACAACTAGCCTCCTCCAAATCACCAGCATTGTGCCTGGTCCGCAAGCCCAGCTCGCTGCCAGACAGCCCTCCGGGACCCCAGGCTGCTGCTCACTCCCAGCCAGGCAAGCTTTGGACACCCTTGCTTGCAGCCAGGCAAGCTTTGCTGAGAGACTCAGAGGGAACCAACTGGGCTCAGGTATGGTTTTTGCTCTCTTTTGAAAGCTGGAGACTTTTGGCTCCCTCTGAGAATGACAGAGTTTGCTTTAACCCTCAGGTCTGAAGTCGACCCTTGGTTTCAACTAACCTTTGGGCCCATAGAGGCTCTCTGAAGTTTGCTCCATGTTTTCAGGTTCTGTTGGTTTTACGGTACCTAGAACAAACAGCAGTGGTCAGGGATTCACTGGCAACCAAGAGGCTCAAAGGATTTCAGGTTTTAAAAGTGGAGGAGACTCTAAGTAAGTAAACTGAGGACCAGGGGTATGACTTGGTTAAGGTCAGACAGCTATTCACATAGCCAACCTTCTTCCCATTCTGGATTTTTTTTTTTTTTTTTTTTTGGTTATACTCTGAGGGCCACATTCAGGTATGCCTCTAATTTGTAGGAAGAACTAGGGTTCTCAATCCTATGATAGGCCGGGCTGCCCTTTGTTTGGCATTGATTAGACTGCACATGAATTTTTAACCCAAAGTCTAGTAGTAGGACAATCATTAGTATGAAGAAGACAGTGGTTGGTGAAGAAGAGATGCGGGGGGGGGGGGGATGAAATAAGATGGGCTTTATCTCAGATTCCAGCCCAGGGATGCAGAGTTCAATTCCAAATCAATGGTGGGCCATAGTTGGGCCTCAGTCTTGTTTCCAGCATGATACCGTATTAAGAGTGATCTGTCAAGAGTTTACATCTTCCCTTTCCCTCAACTCTTCTTCCCTACAATTCTAGCCCTTTGAAGTTAGATATGATTTACCTGAAGATTTTGTCTTTGGTTCAAAATCAGTGGAGCGCACGATTTCATTGTTGTGTTCGACTGAACAGGTCACTGAATTTGAATCTCCATACCGACCAAGCTTGACAGCACTGTATTTCCCACTGGGAGAGATGACGATAGCAGGCTCAAATTCTTCTAGTTTCTTGGATGATTCAAGATTTATGTTTATATTCTTAGGGTAGAAATCCTTCACCAGACAAGCAACAGTCGTCCCATTTTTCATGGTGAAAACGGATGGTTTGACAGGAGGCTGGCTTCCTGTAAATAAAATCAATTTATTTTGAAAGATGATTATCTACAAGTGTGGGAGTTAAACAATGGTGGTTACCTCAATTCTGTTGGGCCAAATGTTATAATCCAGACTTTCCTGCATCCTGTGTGTGACCTGGGCTTCTTAGCACCCCCATGAAGGGGTGACCAAGGGAAGTAGAAATGAAAGACAGTCAGTTTGACTTCTAGTTAGGAGCTGCTAAGTGACGTGGCTGAAGCAGGGATGGAAAAGAACAACTACAAATAAGTTTCTAGATCATCTAAGTTTCAATTATCTATATTTTATTAATCAGTCCTCTGGACAACCACAGTCAGGCTGAGTAGCTTTATCAGTTGGTTTATTTTAAATGCATCAGCCCTTGGAGTGAGAGCAGGGTGGGTGCTTGTTCTTGGCATTGTGTCAATCAAAAGATCAGATCTGAGAAGGACTACATGACTGGTTCAAATACTCTGAGGATGGTAGTGTTGGGGTCGCTTCAGAGTGTCATCCCCATTTTACAGACTAGAAGGGATAACCACTGAAGTTAAGGGGTACATCTCTCTGGCTTTAGGTGAATACTTATTTTTTTGTAAGGGACTATCCTGCAGTTTCTTTTGAGTCTTTAATCAGAAATAACAACTATCATTCCCAGGAAGTCCTTATAGACATAAAACCAGTTTAAACCCAGATCTTGTTTAATTCTAAGTGAAGCTATGGAATGTTGGTTTCAAGAATTGGATCTCTCCCTGGCTTCCTCTGCATTCATGCTTCACCCTGAGCTCTACCATCTACCTGCCACTCTGTACCTGCATCTTCTTCTTTCCTTGAAACTGGAAGTTTTAAAGCTTTGAGGGAGGCAGTAATGGTTCTTTCCCATCATGACATATTCAAGTTTCTGAATTATGATAAATTTTGGCCATGGAGACTTGAATTCTTAGTCTATCTTTAAATAACTGGCTTTTTGAGAAAAAGATTTTATTTATTTATTTGAGAGAGCGAGCGAGAGAGAGAGCCCGATTTACTTGTTGTGCAAGCACATGAGGGGGAGGGGCAGGAGAAGCAGACTCCCCATTGAGCAGGGAGCCTGATGCAGAACTTGATCCCGGGACCCCTGAGATCCTGACCCGAGCTGAACGCAGATGCTTAACCAATTGAGCCACCCAGGAGCCCCGATCTTCAAATAACTGTTAAAAAAAGTGGGGCGGGGGGAGGCGAAAATGCCTGAAATCAGGAGAGACAACCAATCTCTGATGGTGCTCTGGATTTATTTCCATTCACAAGCTTAACTGCTGATTTTCCATATTAATTTCTTGTGTGAATATAGCTCTTATATTTAAAACTTCAGTGAGTTTTGGGGCCCCTGAGTGGCTCAGTCTGTTAAGCGACCGACTCTTGATTTCAGCCCAGGTCATGATCTCATGGTGGTGAGATTGAGCCCTGCCTCAGGTTCCGCACTTTGTACAGTTCTGCTTAAAATTCTTTCCCTCTCCATCTTGCCCCCTTCCCCCCCCACTGCTCGCACTCTCTCTCTCTCAAACAAAACAAATCAAAACAAAACAAAACAAAACAAAAAAACCTTAGGTGAGTTTTAAAACTTGTGATATCAAATTAAGAATGTTTTGCATACCAGTGTACTTTTGTTTACTATGATCTACAATCAAGACACAAGGTAATGCTAAATAAAAAGTCTTGGTAATAAGGGAGTAAATGCAATGATTTTTCTAATGTTCTGTCCTGACTTTGGATCTGGGCTTTGCTGTGAAGCTCATGGCAGTCGAGCTATAACCAAATTAATTCGTTGTGTCTGGTTGAGACGGAGTGTTTGCCTGTCTGGAAGTTCCTGCTGATCACCATTTTGTAAGTGGACCATGGCCAATCATGGCTTTCCTAGGGAATCAGCTGTTCCGAGAAACCCCCTCATCACTAGCATCGATTCTCCACTTCATTCTCTGCCCGGAAGCTCAGATGAAACACTGGATTCTGTTTCAGGCACTTAGGGCAAGGAACTCATTCCTAAGAATCTGGTTCCTTCTACTTTAGGCTTTAGCTCGAGACAAGAGGGTGGCTGGGGATTTTTTCAGGGGGCTCTCCTAGAACCTACTTTCAACCTATGCGAGAAAACCTTCTTTGTTTTGCTTTCCAGCGAAGCCACTGATAACAGACACTGATAACTCTCGCAGTAACGGCTTGAAAAACCACACGTTCTGCTCTTTCACCTGCCTTCAGACTTGCGACATTTCTTGCTCACTCTACTGACCTTGGTCTCATGTATTCTGGTTGATTTTCAAGAGAGTTATGTGGTACAGCGAAAGGAAACTAGCCCATTAAAAAATAAACAACAAAACAAAACAAAATAATCCTATCTCCTTGGTTACCTAAGAGTTTGACCCAATCCTAGTCTGATTTACTTGGATAATTAAGGCTTGCTTGGGATTTTAAGGCAGTTGTCAATGTTCACTCTGGGCTAGAGACCTGGTTTGAATAATTTGAGCAATGTAATATAGCTGACAAGATAAATGTCTGCAGAAGGTAATACACTTGTGAGACTGAGTTCTTAATCTGTTAGCATTTCAGATAACTCATAATGCATTCATTTGGTAAAATGTTTTTCGCAGACCCTCTTTCTCATTGAATACCTATCTATTGAAAACAGTTGTTTGAAAGTAAAGTGTTTTATCTAATCCATTCTTTGGTACCATGGTAACCAAAGAAAGGGTTATCTGACTGAACTGAACCTTAAAAAAAAAAAAAAACAGAATGCATTTTATATCATTGCCATACTCTATTTTATATTTAACTTAAACCAGATTTGAAGTTGGGTAAAATTTGCACTATTGTAGTCCAAAATTTAAAGATTTAATTGTTTATTTTTTGCGAATTTCCAGTCTTTCTTCTTGGCCCACCAATATAATTACATTTCAACGTGGGTTCCAGAGGGCTATTTGTTTGAACAATTGCTGTTTTTTTTCAGACTTTCTCTTTTTATGAGTACTGATCCAATGCTAAGGTTATGTGCTGGTCAGCAATACCAGAAGTATATACCTTTCCTGAACAGTCTTTCTTAAGTTATACACGTGGAAATCATCTATGTTTTAGATTCGCATAGAGAGTCCTACTGGCTCCCTAAGAACTGTACCATCTGTAACAAATGTCACTCACAATTTCAAGGCTCTCGGACAATAGGAGATTTAACTTGAACACTGAAATACAAGTTTGCTCTACCTGATTACTCCGACCTGGTTAACTACCCCTCTCCTTTGAATCCAAACTACAGGACATTTGTTTGCAGGTTGCAATGAGGCATGGACACTAGTCAGCCTAGCCAAAGAGATGGGTAAGAACAAAACAGTCTTCTGGAGATTTTGGGCCAAAGCATCCCTGCATATCCCTCACCCCGCTCATATGCTCTGACAATTACTATAATTTTTCTGGTTTTCTTGGCTGCTCTGAAGATTTCAGAAATAAGTGGGGGCTATAGTTCCCCCCCGCCTTTTTTTTAAAGTAGGCTCCACACCTGGTGTGGAACCCAAAGCAGGGCTTGAACTCACGACCCTGAGATCAAGAACTGAGCTGAGATTAAGAGTTGGATGTTTGACTGTCTGAGCCACCCAGGCACCCCAGGGCTATAGTTTTAATATACACTTTTTAAAAAACAAAACTAGTTACAGAGCTACTTCAGTGACTCCGCCTGGTGACTTTTCTGGGGCCTACCCCCACATCTGGGCTGCTCTATCTAGTTCTCCTTTCCCAAGTAATGCAAACTGGATGGCAGCCCCAGGCCCAGGTCTCAGTTTATCCCCAGAAATATAAGGGAAAAAAGTCAACTCACGTGGCTCCACGACGAGTCTGGTGCCACCTCCAAAAAACATCGGTTGAGTATCCCAGGAGCACATCGCAACACTGCCTCACAAGTAACCAGCCTGGGGCTGGCCCGGGGGCCTGCGCTAGAACATCTGTGCCCTGCCTCCCCTGCCTGGGTCCCAGCCTAGAGACCCCACAACTCAGAGCACTACAAAGCTGCTCTTGATGAGATCAAGGGGCACAGAGTCTCAGTTCCCTTTGAAGCTAATAATAGTTTGCTGGATGAGGTTGTGAGCACAAAATCCCAGCCAGGAGGCACCAGGACAGGGGACAGGGCTGACATAGAGGGACAGAGGAAGGTGACAGGTGACCGGGAGCTGCCTTCAAGATGGAAAATTTAATTCCCAGTTCATTGGGAGGCCTCTCCAAGAAGAACACGATAGCTTGGGAACAGGGATGGGGCACCGACTGGCGACATTTCTTATAATGAGTGTCAGGCTGAAGAGGGTTTAGACACAGGTCTTGTTCTCATATTCTGGTTCCTTCTCTTGGGTCACAAATTCTGCTTCTTTGATTAGAAATGTAATTTCTTCCCCATCACTCAGACTGAGTCTCACAATAATAAGGAATCTGTCTCCTAATTCCCTGAGCCCAGGGAAAGGCTTTCTAAGGATCTGAGGGCTGAACAAGAAGTTGATAGCCGACGGGGAGCCCAATGGTGCCGTGGGTCACGGATGCAGGTCAGAGAAGCTAGTGCTTGCTTTGAACTGTTTATTTTCGTTTTATAATTTCTCCTGTCTCTGGATCCAGATACAAGCTTCAGGAGGATATAGTAATCATGTGAAATAGAATTTAAAGGCCATATGGATTACTCTGTCTCATCACCAGAAATCAAGAGTCTAAGGCTAGAGCCAAAGGGAATGACGGTTGTATAGGGCCATTATTTGCTGTCAAAACTTTAAGGATTGAAGGCTTGACTTGAAATTCTCACTTTCCCTACCTGAGCTTCACATAATCATATTACACTCCATCACGGAGAGAAAACTAAAGAAGTAAATGGAGTATCACTGGAGAGCACGGGTCAGTGTCCCAGCAGCTGGGCTAAGCATCACTTTCATCTCTTTCTTTCTTCTCTAAGGCTCCCAAAGGCATAGCCTCAGAGATTTGATTCTAACACTGCAGATAATTCTGAATTTCAAGTGGAAATGATTTAAAGGGAAAATGAAACACAATACTTTGTCCTCAGATGCAATTTGCCCAACATCGATCAGACTGCAATCAGCTACAACACGATTGTTTCCCTCCTTCTTTCTAGTCTCTCCCCTCTCGGAGACAACTCACCAAATACCACTATTTCCCTGGAAGCAACAGGCAATCAAGAACCCCTATAAGGTTATGTTTCCTTCTGAGAGGCAGACACCATGTTGACACTACCAGCTGGTTTCAGGACTGTCGACCTTGCATTCATGTACATTTCCCCATTTCTTTATTTCCTCTGAAATAAAATTTAACCATGTAAGGGCAATGTCTGCATTTTGAAAAGCTTCTGAAAGATTACTGTTCTCTGGACTCGTCCCAGTGACTGACTATTGGCAGCTATGCAACATCAACCCTGGATTTCCAAGCCCCGGAACAGATTACCAGTGGACAATATCCCTAGGAGAGCACCATTACTTCTCTATTGTCCTGAAGTTGGTGGCTGTGATTCTACATTGGATTCTACAGGCTCCTGAACCCTACAACCAGAGTAGGGTCTTCGGATTCAGGGCTAACAGAAGAGGTGAGCACCTTAACTGCTTTTGGCCGACCCAGACTAGGAGGGGGCCTTGGGGATCATTTAGTCTGAGCCAGGCACAATGACTTATAGCAAGTTCTCAGCAAAAAGACACAAAGGAAGATTGGCTTTTGTCATCTGAGGGAGAGAAGACTGTCTTGATCTAACTCCTTCTTTAATAATATTTTTCTTCTTTTTAACCGTCCCTCTTCTTACCCCGTGGCCATGACTCTCTGTCTTCATAAACAGTGGAAGACTCTCCTCACTTAGAGCTTGCCTTTTCTCTGGTCCCAATCCCTGACTGAGGAAGGGACCAAAAGGCTGACTAAGGGCTTTATTTGGGCCGTTGTAGAAGGCTTGTTGCTACAAATCTTCAGAACAGAGTTTCTATGCATACACAGACTATTTTCCTAAGGGAAACCTAATGAATTTGTCCTCGGATTTTACCTTGACTCTCTGCAACAACAAAACAATGGGTTTGCAGTTTGGAACCTCCTGACTTCCCAAGAAGCTCCATTCATTCAGGACTAGGCTACAACAAGTCCAAAGGAATATATGCCCTGAAGTAACATGCATAAGTAACATGGAACATGGTTCCACGATGAGTTGAGTCCCTCTTCCAAAGACAAGTTGTGCTTCATTACACCACCTCAGGCATCATTACAAAAAACCTCGCTACCTATTTGCCCTCTGTGCGGTCCATCTGTGTGGAAGGGGTGGGTGGAGCAGAATGAGTGTAGCTGGAGACATAAAACTCTGCAACGGTGTCTGAGATCTAAGCATTATATTTTGGCAGCTTGTTTGATATGTGTTATCTTCTGAGCGTTGGCATTTAGGAAAGTCCCTGGGTTTTCTGCTATTACCTCCTCAACCTGCCATCACTTACCCCCCGATCTTGCTTCAGGGTCACATTTTCACGGAGAGAAAGGGATCATTTTGGCTTTGCCCAGAATTGACAAATGGCTACTATTAGTGGAAACATAACTATGAGGTTCAAGTCAATCATAAAGGACTATGCCTCAGTTAGAGGTGGAAGAACATGATGGTTAGAGCAAGAGCCACTGATGCAAAAGATTGGAACCTACCCAAAGGGTCATAATAATCATAGATGCCTACCATTTGTATAAGTACTTTGCTACTTACAAATGTCTTGTGTTTGTACTATCTCAGCAAACATTACCGTAACAAACTCCATGAGGTGAGATGATTAGATCCTTCTTACAGATGAAATCCCTGAAGCTAAGTATGGTTAAGATAGTGAGTGGCTGCGCTGGGCCTTACTCCCAGGTCTCCAGACTCTAGTTTCCATGCATTGAACCAGAGTAATAGATGATAGGACTGGAAGGAGCCTCAACAGTCACTTGTCAAAACCTTTGTGATGACACAGTATTAATTAACGGACGCATAGGGACAGTTTGGACTCCTTTTCCAGTACGTTTAAAAAAATCAAATCACAGAGGTGCGCCTGGGTGGCTCAGTTGGTTAAGCATCTGCCTTCAGCTCAGGCCATGATCCCAGATCTCAGATCCCACTGATCCCTGCTTAGTGGGGGAGTCTGCTTCTCCTTTTGCCCCTACCCCTACTCGAGCGAGTGCATGCGCGTGCTCTCTCTCTCTCTGTCTGTCTCTCAAATAAGTAATAAAATCTTAAAAAAAAATCAAATCACAGAATTCTTACTGGGTCATAAGACACTCACAGCATTGGACTTCCTTGGTTTCCTACTAAATCTTCCCTAAGAATTGGTCTGGATGATAATCAGAATCATCGTGTGCTAAAGCTGGAAGACACTTAGAAATCACTTGGCTTACCTAGAGGGAAACTAAAGTTCAGTGAAGTCAAGTCAGAGAGCTAGTCAGTCAAAGATAAGGATTGGAGCTTGGTCTTTGAAATCTTGGTCTGACATGCTCATCATCACACCTCTCATTTACTAGATGTATTTAGTACAGGTCTGGTTATGACCTGGATCTGTAAATGGTGAATGCACAGGTGGTATGTTGGTTATCTAAAGTTAGTCAGGTGGAGGGAAGACAACACATATTCTCCAGGAAAGAGAGTGGGTCAAGAGGACCACTGCAGCACATACCTCATTCTGGACCTTATCAGAGACTCAGTCCCTGTTCCTCAAACCATCCCTTGTTAAATTACATGCTGGCTAGATCTTTTCAAGTGTTTCCCAAGCTGGTGACTTTGGAAAACATTTAACAGATAATTGCTAAAAATAGTGGTCATAAGAAGGAAAAATGAGTCACTTACGTGGTTCCACCTCCAGATAGGTTCCTTTGCCAAAGATCAGTGGATCAGTTGTGCTGGAGAATGCACAGCTGATAGACCTCATCTAAAAACTGCCTTGCTTTCTTTTTCTGGCAACCTTGGCGCCTGTTGCCAAGTCATGTGATAGATATTGGATGGTATTTGTGTCTCATCTGGACTAACCTCTTTGTTCTTCAGTCTTGGGGGCTATCCTTCAGGACCAAAGCAGGAGGTGATTACTGTGTCAAATAGAAATCTGAACCTTGGCGGCACCTGGGTGGCTCAGTCGTTAAGTGTCTGCCTTCGGCTCAGGTCATGATCCCGGGGTCCTGGGATCGAGCCCCGCATCGGGCTCCCTGCTCTTTGGGAGGCCTGCTTCTCCCTCTCCCACTCCCCCTGCTTGTGTTCCCTCTCTTGCTGTGTCTCTCTCTGTCAATAAATAAATAAAATCTTAAAAAAAAAAAAAGAAATCTGAACCTTTGCCTTGTTACAGTCTGAATTTGTGCTCTGAATGAGAGAGACTGGAAAAGAGTTTCTTAGTATGAGCAGGAGAGAAGAAAGGTGGAACGTTGGTCATAGAGTAGCGGTTCTCAGCCTTTGGGTTACGCTTAAGTAGGGCAAAGATCTAGTGAGTTATGTACCTCACTCATTCCTCATTTTAGGGGCATTCCATTTCATATCCAGTCAGAGCTTTGCATCATTGTCAAGCATTGTGCAACAGCTAGACTTCTTAGTATAAAATAGAATCTTCAGTGCATTTAAATAACATATTCATGAATATCACATTGTAGCAAGCTTTCATGATCTACTCACACTTAAAAGTGACAGTTAAATTAGCCTCTGTCATATGCAAAAATCAGAGTCTATAAGATTGCCCGTGTCACTTATAAAAACCAGGGAGAGAATATACATTTTCTGATCCATTACAGCCCATAAAGGACTGAAGATGATACTTTGAGAATCACTAAAATGGAAAGTGAATCTCAGTTCTGGTGAAGTAGAAAGACGTCAGAAGACCTGAAATCTAGCTGGACTCTGTTCCTCACTGAGTATATAATCTTAGCCAATTTCAGGAAGCCTCGTTTGCCTCTTTTATAAAATGAGGGTAGTATCTTCTGTATTGGGGGTTCCTAAGATGAAATGATAGGGTGTATATAAAGCACTCTGTAAACTAGAAAGCCTTGGTGGAATGATTGGAATGTTCATTAATGTTAGACTCAGAGAAAACACATTTTACTTGAAGCAAGGGGTGTAATTTCCCTAAGCACAGAGCTTCCCAGGGGTAGGATGGTAAGGAAAGGTCACTAAGAGAAAATAGGATACTATTTCTTTGGAATTTAAGAGGAGAGTGCTCACTTCTTAGGGCTGTGGGTGAGGCCAGGAATCCATGTTTCTGTCTCCCCTGGTTTTTTCGTGGGGTCAGGTGTGACCTCCATTCCATTCTCCAGTCTTCCCTTTCCAGTCCCCACACTGGAGTCCTTATGGTGGCCCATGAGCTGCCTCGTCCCCAGGCCTATTACCAGCCTGACCTCATTTTCAAATTCTCTCCCCGTCACTTCCACTTTCCTCCAGCCACACGGGCCTCCTCACTCTCCTTCACACGCTCCAGGCAGCATTGCGTTCCCCCTCTTCCTCCAGATATCTCCTCATGGCTCACTCAGTCACCCCCTCAGGTCTTTGCTCAAATGTCACCTTTCCAGTGAGGCCTTCTGTGTGACTCCTCTGTTAAAAACTGCACACTGCACCCTCCTCTCGTCTTCTGCATTCCCTTTCCTGCTTTATTTTCCTTCACGGGGCTTATTACCACCTAAAATACTATATATTTTATTTATTTATTTGGATTACTATCTGTCTTTTGCCATTAGAGTGAAAACTCCAATAAGGCATCCGTTTTTGTCTGCTTTGTTCATGCTGATCACTCAGCAGTGAGAAGAGTGCCCAGCAGACAGGGACGGGGACTTGTCACAAGTTGGGGAGCTAGGACTTGGCTTTGCCTCTGCAGGTTCCCAGTTGGCTTTTATTTCTGTTTCCCTTTGCCTTACGCCACAACTGATTATCCTTTCACTCACTCATTCATTCATTCAACAGACATTTATTTAGTGCCTTCACTGTATTTGTGGATACAGTGAGGAGCAACTCAAAGTCTTTGCCCTTACAGAGTAAAAGAGACAGATGATCAATGAGCATCCGAAAGTTTCGGTTGGAGATGAGGGTATAGAAATAAAGCAGGGTAAGGGGACTATAGGGGGTGATTGGAGAAGGTGTCACTAGAAGTGACATTGAGTAAAGACCTGGAGAAGGAGAGGGAGAGAGCTTTGTGAATCCCTGGGGAGGGGATTAAAATAGGGGAGAAGATAGTACTGGGCCAAAGGCACTGTAGGGCACAGGCTCCATTCTGAAACTGGTGGTTGCCAGAGGGGAGGGGTGGGGGAGGGGCAACATGGGGGAAGGGGAGCAGGAGATACAGGCTTCCAGTTACAGGCTTCCAGTTACGGAATGAATAAGCCCTAGCGTAGAATAAAGGCACAGTAGAGGGAATATAGTCATTGGTATTTTAATAGTGTTGTACAGGAACAGATGGTAGCTACGCTTGTGGTGAGCATAGCATGACGTATAAACTTGTTGAATCACTATGTTGTACACCTGAAACTAATGTAACATTGTGTGTCGGCTACACTCAAATTAAACAAAACAAAACAAAACACTCTGTTCTGGGAGATGTTCATTGTGAGTGAGAGGGAATGCCAAAGACAGGAATGAGAAGGTTATCTCTTGGAATTTTAGAAACACATTGATGATCCTGGGATTTTCTGGACTCCTTTTTCTCAGGATGATCATCTGAGCATTATTTGCATCTTTCTGAGTATCGCGACCCTCGAGTCCAGGGGTGTAGTGTGAGGAATGGGCCTTGCCCGGAGAACACCTCTTTGGGTAATTGAAATCTAGTTGTTTGAGCTGCAAATGGAAGCTAGGTTACTCTTTGGGTAACTGGTTTTGGTATGGCGGTGGGAGGAGCTCTTCCTTGGTGAAGGACTATGGTGGAGATGGTGGTTGGAAGGGAAACAGCCTAACGGTAGCTTCAGACTCTGCCGGCAGCCTGGAAAGGAGCCCAGTAGAGGAGGAGGGGGAGGCTGGGCCATTGCAAGAAAGGCCTCCACGTGTGCCTCAATCAAACTGCAGTCTCCACAGAAAAGGAAAGTTCTTGAGTGCACAGATGCTGGAATCAGACAGATGATACACATTTTGACTTTGCTAAGCTCTGTGGTCTTGGAGAACCCACCCTCCATCTGTAGACAGGCAGGTCATAGTTCCACATGGTCATTGTGAGAAGTGCATAAAATGACATTCATTAATAAAGTGCCTCATCCAGTGGCCTGATACACAGTAGACACCCAGAAAGTGGTAGTTGATATAGTGATGACATATAATAATATATATTATTCTAAGTGTATCTCATGATCCACTTTCATGAAGATGCTCCTGATGCCCGTGCTTCTTTTCTAAGCTCCTATCATTGTCATGGTCAGTAGCACACATTTACATTGTGGCTCTTTATTCCATGCTCTTTTGTCCTGTTCTCTGGTTCTGTTTTATGAATTTAAGTGGCATCCCCTGGTTTTCTCTATCCAGACGGCTAAAAGGTTGATGGATTTGGGGCTGTGGGTTTGTGGGCACAAAGCTAACAAATGGAGACTAGGGAAATCAGTCACTAACTTCACAGGGAATGTGGATAAATTATTATTTTAGTGAGAAATTTTAAAGCCAGTGAGGTGTAAGGGCAAAGGCCTGAACTAGTTGAATCTTCAAAATTTTGCTATGATTTTTTTCTTTTCTTTTCTTTTCTTTTTTTAACTCTGAATTTCTCTGCTCTATGTTAACACAGCTTTGGATCTCTATCTCTTTCCGGAGGCGAAGCCCTACCCCACTTCTCCCCATAGTGTGCGCAGTCTGGGAATGGCCAGCCGGCACTCCTTCCCTTTTTTTTTTTTTTTTTTTAAGATTTATTTATTTATTTTTAGAGAAAGAGAGGAGAGTGAGAGAGAGTGTGAGAGCATGTGAGCAGGGGGAGGGGCCGATGGAGAAAGAATCCTGAAGTAGACTCTGCGCTGAGCGCACAGCCCGACACGGGGCTGGATTCCAGGAATTTGAGATCATGACCTGAGCTGAAATCAAGAGTTGGCTGCTTAACCAGCTTAGCCACCCAGGCGCCCGTTGCACTCCTTATGTTCCCTTCTTCAGTGGTATGCCTCTTGCACATCATCCACCCAGGCATTCTCTGAGAAGACCGCACCCCATCACATTCTCCCTCTGCACCTCTCTGGAACCTACTTTTACCTTGGAAAACACAAGCTGAATGCCAAGCACCAGGCCAGAGTGTGCTGTCTATTGTCTAGTAGCCCCCTCAGCAGGTTTGGGTCCACTGACCCCACTCTTAGACCTCCCTACGATCTTTGGAATGTGGTTTTGTATTTGTTTTTTATATTTGCTGGCTTAATATTAATATCCACTATCTAACTGGAAGCTACTGCCAAACAGAGACTGCCTTTTTTTTTTTTTAAAGCAAGACACGGTTGGATTCAAATGTCACTTAAATGACACAGAGAGATGCCTTCTTTGTTTTTTATATTTGCTGGCTTAATATTAATATCCACTGTCTAACTGGAAGCTACTGCCAAACAGAGACTGCCTTTTTTTTTTTTTTAAAGCAAGACACGGTTGGATTCAAATGTCACTTAAATGACACAGAGAGATGCCTTCTGTGTTGAGTGCAATCCTTCGACAACTTTAGCATTGATTCTTTTATAACAGTTAATTAGTGAGTGGCACCAGATCCTCTTAGTGAGGGAGACGAACACCATGAGTCCTTAGGGAATTGCTCCTTCCTGTGTCCTATAGGCTTTAAAGCATTTCTTAGTTGGAAGCATTACACATTCACTTTGTTCTGCTTGGAATCTGGTCTCACTGGGACCCAGAATGTTCCCACTTCCTCACGAGTGACCTAGCTTCCATTTGCAGCTCAGACAATTAGAAGCAGATGTCTGGTTCCT